AAATGGATATTCCCCCAATCTGCTCTCCCGTAAGGCCCACACCACATGATAACACTAGATACGTTGTTTTCGCCTTTGGCGACTAGCAAGCTTTTTATATTGTTCGATCCCGTGGATCGAGACAGAGAGATAAGTAGGAGTATGTAAAAAAATTGGTTCGTCTCTTGACTTGACCTTGACCTGATTTATAAATATCTATTTTTTTGAACTAAGTTTAACTACTGACCCACTTTTATTTAGGTAAGTTTTAGATCTGACTAGTTTTAATAATGACCAATTGATCCAAAATTAACCCATATCCATTATACGAAAAATAAAGAAAAAGAAAATCACAATTATGTTAAAAGAAAAATTTTAACGTAAAACAATTACGTCAAAAATTTTTACGGAAAATATTTCCATCAAAATTTGTGACTAAAAAGTTTTCTGTAAAAAAATTTGACGAAAAAATTTTTTTGTCAAATTTTTTTACTGAATTTAAATTTCGTCAAAATATTTCAAAAAAAAATATATTCATCAAAAATTTTCGACGAAACACATTTTCATCGAAATTTTTTGACGGAAAAAAATTCCATCAAAATTCTTTACAGAATTCAAATTTCGGCGAAAGTTTTCAACATAAATAATTTCGTTAAACTTTTTGACAAAAAAAAAATTGCGTCAAAATTTTTAGCGAAACACATTTCCATCGAAAATTTTGGACTAAATATTTTCGTCAAGTTTTTTGATAAAAAAATATTTCCATCAAAATTTTCAACGGAAAACATTTCTGTCAAAAATTTTCATAAACATTTTTGACAAAAAATATTTCAATAAAAGATTTTGACGAAAAAAATATTCTGTCAAAATTCTTTAGAGAATCTAAATTTCGTCGAAAGTTTCGAATGAAACAATTTTCGTCAGAACACATTCCCATTGAAATTTTGAACGAAAAATATTCCGGCAAAATTTTTGACGGAATTCTTTTTTCATTTAAAACATTTGATGGAGAAAATCATTTTTGTCAAAACTTTTGACGGAATTCTTTTTTCATTTAAAACATTTGATGGAGAAAATCATTTTTATCAAAACTTTTGACGGAAACTAAATTTTGTCGAAAATTTCGATAGAAAATTTATTTTTGTAAAAGTTTTCAATAGAGAAAAAATTCCGTCGCTTTTCGACAAAAAATATTCCGACGAAAAAATAATTTTGTGACGAAATTTTCGTCGTTTGCAACGTAGAAATTTCATCGAAAATATGATCTTTTTTAGTATTACATAAATAATTTCATCAAAAATGGGTCAGGTCAGATGTGACCCACTTCAGAAATCAAGTCAGGTCAGATCCGACCCAGTTCTGAACTAGTTCAAAAAAATCCAAACCAAGTCAAACCTGACTCGGATCAAATTAAAGCGGGTCGGGTCAAAATACTTGACCTATAAAAACCAAGTTGGGTCAAGTCGGCACAAAAACCTGACCCGACCTGACCCATGCACACCCCTAGAGATAAGTGAGTTTATGTTAGATTAATAGAAAATACTATTCTCATTTTACATTTTCTCACTTAAAAAATCGCATCTTTTCTTTTCTTTTCTTTTTCTTTTTCTTTTTTTTCCTTTTTAATGGTGGGCTCCACTTGGATTCTTTCTGTAACATGAGAGAACTACTCTCATGTAACATGAGAATAATATTCCCCTAGATTAATATGCTCTGTATTTATGAAAAAGATACATTTGAAGGTAAGTACATCTTTTTGCAATATATTGGTGTTGCTAGAACATGAGGTGTGTGCAATAACGACAGCTATTGAGGTGTGAGCAATAGTGACAACTATTAAACTAAGTAAATGTGTATATGAATAAATTTTACCTCTTATTGGTAGAGTTTAATTGTACATAGTAAAATTTAGACTTTTAGGAGATTTTGAGAGTTTGATGTCATTTTAACATTAATATAATTAAAGAATTTTTTTTAATTTTATTCTTAGCTGTTTGTCGTTATTAGACATTTTAGAATGTGAGCTTTTATATATGTTGAGTTTTGAACCTTTTATTGGAAGTATGATTTATTTTTTGGGTGATTAATATCACGGCGGTTATATTTACCACTAAAATATTTATTACCTTTATAATTAACTTAATGTTTATTACATCGGAATTAAATTTAATAACTCATAATCAATTTTTATAATCCTAATTTTTTACCCGTTCGCTATCTTTCTTCAAAATATTTATTCTCTCTCTAGGTCTGCAAATTTTCCATCTCAGCCATTTTCAACCTTCAGTAACACCTGGAATCGTCACATATGGATCATTAGACACATCACCATCTTTTGGCACTTGTTCATCATGAATTTCTCGCAACCAACCATTGCAAAAGGACCTGCCCATTATTAAAATGCTTCAATGTCAGAGTTTTAACCTTCGAAGCTCGTGCCTACCATATGCATCGATATCGATACGGGACACGATATGACACGACATGTTAACACGTTAATTCTAAAAAATATCATATTTTGGCACGTTGGGACACGTTTTGATATTAAATTTATATTTAATACATATAAGAGTTCATAATAAGTCATATAACCAATCAAATATTTAAATTTTATAACAAAAATATAAAAAAAATAATTTTTCGTACTTTGTTAATTTTTCATATCAAAATTCAAAACAGGAAAAAATTAATTTATATATTTTTTTTTATATTTAGTTAATAAAATAAAATTAAGACAAAAAAAACGGGTTGGAGCTTGTCGGAACATTGACCGTGTGTTGAAAAAAGTTGACTGCGTGTCGAAAAAACGTGTCAAAAAATTGACCGCATGTCGAACGCGTATCAGAGCGTGTCCGTGTCGGACACATGTCCCACACACAAATTTTTTTAAAAAGCCGTGTCCGTGCTTCTGAGCCGGTTTCACTTCTCATTCTCAAGTTATTGTAATTAATCAAATGAAATGTGCGTTTTAATTAAATTTTGCCAGTTAAACTTAGTTTTACACCCTTGTTGTGATTTCTTCTACTGGAAAAACAATTGTTATTTGTCCTAAAGTTCAAAATCAGATCTTCAGTACTAGAATCAATTTGGCAAACCCCAATTCTTGCTATTGCTCTGATTGGAACAAAGAAAATGGTTGAAAAAATGACCGACATGGGGAAATTCTTAGACCTAGAGAGAAGGAAAATGTTGATGAGAGAGAATGAAAAGATAAAAAACTAAAATTATAAAGATTGAGTGAGAGTCATTGGATTTAATTTTAATTCAACAATAATTAAATTAATTGTAAGAGTAATAAATTTTTTTTAAGATTTCTCATGTAAAGATAAATTTTTTCAATGTATGTATAACATAAGATAAGATTCTTAATGTAATATAAAAAAAATATTTTCCATATTATTAAGCCCACTTTAAAGTGGGCTTAATAATATGAAAAATATTTTATCATGCAAATTTGCTCTTTATAGAAAACCCGTGAGATTAGTTTAACTTTATCACCGATAATAGGTAGAAAGAAGTTTTGAGAAAAAGTAATCCTTTCTAGTTGCTAACTGAATGTATTGGTTGATTCACAATGGTTTGCAACGCTTTGTCAACTTCCAATCAAATTATAAATAAGTCAAACATAGCATGCCCTGATACTTTTAAAAAAGTTGAGATGAAAAATCTAAAATTCAGTTGCCACCACATGCACCTGACTAAGTGCCTTTTTGATTCTCTTTTTTTAAGCCAGAAGTTATTTATAAGCATAAGCTAGGCTAAACAAATTTTTAGAAAAGTTATTATAATGAAAAGCTTTTTTTTTATAACAAAGAAAAAAGCTGCAAACTAAAAGTTCCTATGAGGAGCTTTTTTTTAAGCTCTTATCTTTTTTTCTTGAATTATGTGCTTTTTTTTTAAATGAAAAGTGATAAAGATAGAGAGAGATAATTTTCTTAAAATATGTGCTTTTAAGTAATTCTTAAACTAAATTTTTTATATAATTTCCAAACAGCTTTTAGCTTCTTTTTTTAAGTTCTTTTTTTTTTTTAACTTTAGTTTATAAGTAGCTTTTAATTTAAAAATAAAAGGATCGAATCTCTATTCTAAAAATATCATAATACAACCTGCTGCAGACTCAACCAAAACTAAAGTTATTTTAAGTGTGTTCATAGTTATACTTATACCCATTGAAACTACATTGATGTTCACCGATAGTATAACTTCTTGTTGAACAGAGTAGCTTGTCTCCATTTCCCCCTCGCACAAACAAAGATACAAAACACAGTACTAATGTCATTGCTAATGGTAAATCCCCCACACCGTCGTGAGGATGGTTTAGAAGAGAACTCACCCTTCAGACAGCACGTTGCAGGTGTGGTTCACAGCAATAATCGTGCCAACAAACCAAAGCCCAGTTTCCGTCCACGAGGGTAATTTTGTCTTAGATATTTGTGAATGATTTTCCAAAAAGTTGGAAATAAAAAATACCATGGTCTACTACATGATGTTTTGAATTGATAATCAATAGTGTAAAATGAATTCCAAGGAATAAAATGAACCCAGCCAAAATTTTCTGATTTGCTTGTATCAAATATGGGAATACAAGTTACCCACTTCTACTTTCCTGGACTTCCAAATTATTACCATGTACCAAACATCCCTTTAGGTAGTGTTTGGTTGGGGAGAAATTTTTTGAATACTAGAGAAATGTAATTACTGGAAAGTGAGTTTGGTAGGAAAGTTAAAAAAAATTTATTTGATTGGATATAATTTTACCGGGAAAGTTGAGTAAATTTTTTGAATGTATGTTTGGTTGAAATTAAAATATTGATGGATAAATTTAGTTAAATTATCAAATAACCCTTATTTGAAACAACCCTTTATTCAACAAGCTTATTCCACATCGTCTTGGAGTTGAAGCTATCTACTCGCTCACTCGTCATTACAATTTTGCAATCAAAACAAATTCCACGCACTAGGAAAAGTCTCTCTCTCTCTCTCTCTCGCTTCGAAGTTTGAAGTTGAAAGCACGCAAACAAACAAGGCACAGCATTGCTCAATTCACAAGCTCCGTTGTATCTGAATCTCTGTGAATGGAGAACCTAATCTCTTTGGTGAACAAAATCCAGAGGGCTTGCACCGCTTTAGGTGACTACGGCGAAGCTAGTGCTTTGCCCACTCTGTGGGACTCTCTCCCCGCTATAGCCGTCGTCGGTGGCCAGGTTTGTTTCAATAATTTCAAAATTGACACCATTATTTGTCAACTAATTAAATTAATCACTTGCTTTTGTTATTTCAGAGTTCCGGAAAGTCCTCTGTCTTGGAGAGTATTGTTGGCAAGGATTTCTTACCTCGTGGATCAGGTAATTTATTATGCCATTAACAACATCATCTGCTAATTAAACTTTAATTAGTTACATCATGTATGTATGTGGTAATTGATGTGGTAATTTATTATGCTAATTAAACATTTGCTGGGATTGTTACTCGGCGACCACTTGTTTTGCAGCTTCACAAGACTGACGAGGGAAGCAGAGAGTATGCAGAATTTCAACACCTTCCCACCATCGCAAAGCTCACCAAACTCAAGTTCCTCACCTTAAAAAAGAGGGGTATATTTGTCATGCATTTTTAACCTTTTTCACTTATCCGATACCCTTAACTAAAACCACCTCTTGAAATGGCTTCCCCAACAGTGTCGATATCTGATTTTTGCACTTGAGATTGCTTTGCAGGGGAAACGGCTTTGCTGGGGAAATTTTCCTCAAAGCTTCAACCAAACGTGATTGAGTGAGATTTCCACATGCACTTACCCACCAAAATTTCAACTTCTCCCCAACCAAACACTACCTTAAGATTAAAAAAATTTAACTGCTATCAAATAATAAAAAATAAAAAGTTATTTAGTCATACTGAAAATGTGATTAACTTTGGAATTTTAACTAAGACAAGGCCCCCACACCTAACATGGCTCTGCTGCCACAACAATGACAGACCCAAAAAATTTTATTTATGTCTGCACATTAAGTGGCGGGGGCTGCCCCCGAAAATTTTTTTTTGTAAAAAAAATTTAAATCAACACTTGAACCCGCTTATAATCTAGTTGTTTCCATAACAAGCTGCAGGCAATAGTTTGACCAATTATTTTTCTCTTAAATCTTACCAATCCTCCAAAACAAAAATGAAAATATACTCCGATGCATCCATACATCATCATTCTATTTTATAGTGATGAATAAAAAAGTCAACACTACCTGTACAGAAGGCAAGCAAAATCACAGTGAAGACCTCATCTCTAGATATTAACTTATTTGAAAATGTCCTCTCTTTTTATAAAAATGAAACAGGAAACAAAGGATGAAGAGAGCATGGGGAATGGGTACATGACAGGGGAGGAAAAATAAGTTTTCTCTCTAATCAATTTGCATTGCTACGTTGTTTTAATCATTTCTGTACGTTGTTACGTTGCTAACTAATATAAGAATAAATATCATTTTTGATCCCTAACAAAAAATTATGTTCGCACTTTAGTCCATTATAAAAAAAATTAGTCACCTGGTCCCAATGAAATTCAAAGTGGATCCATTTTGGTCTTTTTGAGGAATTAATGTAGGTCTTTTTTGAATTTGTGAGGCACTATGATTTTAACTAAATTGATCAACTTTAAATTTTCTAGAGACCTCGAGACTATTTTTTTTTTTTTTGCAAGGGACTAAAATGAGACTATATTTTTTGTTAGGAACTTAAAAAGATATTTACTCTTAATATATATATTGAACCAAGAGAAAATAAAGATCTGCAACAAAAAAAGCAAAAAAAAAAAAACTGAAATCTAATATTTTATGTCCGAAGCGGGTCCGCCATTGGCTGTGAGGATATAATCCTCCATAAGTGGACTTGGATTGATGTGTGTTTTATTAATGGTGTCAGATATACTTCCCTACTATCAGTCAGATTGTACTGTTTTTCTAACTATTAACTGCATGTTACAGCAATGTTTTTATTGTTGGTAGGTTTAACTGTTTGGCCTTTAATGCCTTATTTATTTGCGTTCTCAACCATCGACTTATACAAATTACCTTTTTTTGTCTCTCGCTTTCACATATTTTTGCTGATTGTTTCCCTTCTTGTCAGCTTTTGGTGTGTATAGTCTAGAAGTACTCATTCTATACGTAAAAATTAAAATAACAATTTACTTCTCCAGCTACTTGACTTAAGTTTTTATTTTGAGAAAAATTAAAATTTCCTAGTATATTCCTTCCTGTGGAAAAGCAATGAGTGTTTAAATCCACAAGTACTGGCAGAGAAAAACATCACATTAGCTCCTTTATTTTTTGCTACAAGCCACAATGGGTTCAGAATGGGTTTTGACACTTCACTTATTGGATCCACCCAATGGTAATACTCGAAAAGTATTTTCGATGCATCCATGTTTGAAGGCACATCCATTGAACCAAACCAACTCTTCTATAGTCATTATTCTTGGTTAGCACTCTTGTAGAAGTGCATTTTGGACACAGCATGTTTTCTAATGTCTATATCATACTCATGAAATGCCTCCTATGTTCTTCACATTATTCACTCCGTTCATGACACAATAGATTTCGCGTATTAATAAAATCAAGATGAGATTCATAAGGTGGACATTTCCTAATATGCATTGGGTAAACATTATTGCAAATGCTATCATTGGATTTATTTTGGATTGACTTATTTTATGCTCAAAGTTTTTCAAGCAAAACCTCTTTCTTGAGCATTTCGATTACGATTACTAAGTACAAAAAGCTTGGCCTAACACGTTGGCCCTGGTCTGGTTACCCACAGTGTTGAATAAGGAAGATAGGAGGCGTCTGAATATGTATTATTATGCAATTTCACCTACTCTATACTTTCAGAAGAAGACGATAACAATTTAATAGAAAAATATAATATAAAACCATTAAATAAACTTCACCTAATAACTTAAGTTTTTGAGTTAAAATGATTCTTTATACAATCTCATTTCAAATACACAGCCGGTCTAAACACAAATAGATACCGCAGTAGTCAATAACATTATTCATCTTGTAGCAACATAATAGTAGAAACCACGTGGAAAGAAGAGTATCAATGAAGAAAAGGCCACCAATATCACAAGGAAATGAATGAATACAATGAAAACCTTGGGAATTCATTCAACTCATTACAGTATAGAAAAATCTAAAATATAACCCAGCAGCCTGTATCGTAGCAAAGTTCATCTAAGGATAAATGTTACAAGTATAGTTTACTACATCAAATCAAGGTTGTAAGCAGGCCTGTTTCTATAAAAATTAAAAAGGAATCCTCCTGTTTGGAAAGAAAACCAATTGAAATCCGACCCAAAAACAATTGAACCTATATATACCACAATATTCTTTACTATTCCTTTTGTGACTAATTGAAACCTGGGTCCAATTATTGAACTTGGGCCAAATAGGAAAAAGCTTTTGTTTGACTAATTGAACTCTATTCAAAATGTTCCACAGCCTTTAATGGGGCTTTTGTTTTCAAGAGCATCTCTTCATACTCGTCCTCAGGGTTTGACAGTGCAACAATAGCCCCTCCAGCTCCTATTGAAGCTTCACCCTCATGTATAATGACTGTTCTTATGACAATATTTAGATCAAATGTCTGATTATATGAGAAAAATCCAATACAGCCTGAGTAGATACCTCGAGAACAATTTTCAAGAGAATCAAGAAGTTCCATTGATCTCAACTTTGGTGCACCAGTCATCGAACCACCAGGAAATGCAGCTTTGACACAGTCTACAGCACTGACATCCGACCGCTTCTTCCCACGAATTGTACTCACCATTGTGTGAACAGTTGCATATGATTCCACATCCATGAGATGCGGCACATGAACAGATCCAGGATCACAAACACGACCAAGGTCATTCCTTAGAAGGTCAACAATCATCAGGTTTTCAGCCTGATCCTTTTCGCTGAAAGAGAGAAAACAAGTTAGTTCACAACATATTCCTTAGAGTGCTTTGCTATATCAACAAGTTATAATTCTGGATATTGAATTTTTGTATCAATCTGTAGTCCATTGTAAATTGGGTCTCGAATTCTCTTAAACATGTAAACTTTAGATAACAAATTCATAATTAAACACAAGATTGTATGTGCAACCAAATAGGGGTCTCACACATTTCAACGAGTCTTGATAGTTTCCAAATTAATGAAGCATCAAATATATTTGGAAAGTAATGTATCACACCACAAACAACGTCCTAAACAAATAATTCCAAAATTTAAACTAAAGTGGTGGTGATGGATAGACTTAAAAGTTCCCTGAAAAATATATAAGTCACCTGAGTTGTAATGTCAATTTGAGTTGCTCATCTTCCTCTTCGGTAGCACCACGAGCTATAGTACCTTTAATGGGCTTAGCTTCTAGCATATCATTCCTATCTAACTGCAGGAACCTCTCAGGGGAAGAACAACAAATACACAGATCTTGCTTTGAAAAATTAAGCCAAGCAGCATAAGGTGCTGGATTCCTTTCTCTCAAATGCAGGTAAAGTCCAAGAGAATTTAATTCCTCAATTGGTTTCCTTATCTGAGTTGTGAGGCACAACTCATAGCTTTCTCCATCTTTAATGTACTTTAGACACTTCTTGACATCCTCAATGTATTGCTCTCTAGGTTTTTCTGCTGTAAAACCAGCCTTACGTGAGGAAAAAGTTAAAGGACGAGAATCCTGTCTTTCCAAATCCATTCTCACGGAGCCATTTAAGCTCAGAAGCTTCTCCTCCGCATCATCTAACCACTGTGTCATACTTGAACTTTCTTCACGTATAGCCAATAAATAAACATCATCATTTTTGTGGTCAATAGCTACAAGATTATCAGCAAAGAAAAAACATGCATCTGGAGTTTTAGATTTGTGACGGTTAGATGTGACGCCACATTCAACTTTGAGGTTATACCTGCAACACAAGAAATCAAATATTTGTTTAGTGTTGGTTCACGGAAGAGATCAAAGTTTTATATAATCACAAGTAAACATGCTTAGCAACAAGGTTGGGATGGTTCAACATCCAAAAAATCAAAATGAAGGTTCACAATATTTCAAACATAAAATAGATATTGGGGGGGGGGGGGGTTATGATAATAAGACAATTAGTGATGATTATCATTCTTAAAAGAAAAAAACTAAGATAGATTTCAATTAACTTCATAAAATGACAGAAAGAAGGGAAGACCAGAAAAAGAAGTTATATCCATCAAGCAGAAAGTAAAAGCATCACCAAAAAAAAAAAAAAGATGAAATAAGAAAAGCATGAAATTTCTTGACATATCCTTAAGCATTCAGGTTGACTGAATGTACACATATAACTGCTTGAATTTATCACCTACCCGATGTAACCAACATATCCACCGTTAAAGTCAAATGGCAGACCTTCATAATCATTTTTATCATAATGATATGATTTGAGCTCCTGCAACATTATGAAGGCAACATATTTACGTGGGAGAAAGGAAAAAAAGGAAAAAAGATTAAATATTTAATTATGCCTGTTAAAAAAAAGTGAATATTTGCTCTATCATGATTGGGAAGATCCAAGTATGTCAAAATAATTTAAATATACATCAAGAAATAACATACATGATGGAGGTTCAATACACAGAAAATTTGACTTTTTCTGATGTCTTAACCCTGTTTACTTTGAATCCTACCCACCACTTACTTAATTTCTTAGCTTCATCTCTGATCAAAGCGAAAAACATGGCATTTTACTGATCTAAATCACATGAGAATGGGCATTAGGGATCATTTTGGCATATTTCAGAATTTTTTTCTTTTAGCATATTTTCTGTTTAGGATAAACTTTTTTGGGATGGAAAGAAATTTCGATAGAGAAAAAAAGGGGCAGTATAGTTGGGGAAGGATAAGATATCCTCCAAACCATAGAAACTAAATATAACAAATGTCAAGGATTAACTTCCACAAAAGCTTGAACTATTATGTAGTAGAAGCCTAATAATGACTCTATATCCTTATTCCTTAGCACGCCATTTCATGTGAGAGCCGCTTTAGGCTTGAAGCATACATAGACAAGCCAAACCATACATAGACAAGCCTATTTTTACCTTGCGCTAATTCAACTTAATTATGAAGAATGGGTGTGAAAATTATTGAACTTCTGATAGAGGTCCTAATGCTATGTCAAGGACCAATTTTCCTAGAAGCTTTAATTGTTAGGAAGAAGCCCAAGAATGTTCTTATATCTCTAAAAAAATAAGTCATATTCTAGTTGAGGACCGTAATATGCAAGAATAAAACATAAAACAGCCAAGATAGTTTCAGTATATACCTTGTTCAAAAAATCAAGAAAACCTTCTTCCAAGAATATTGTTTTGGCAGAACCTTGAGAATCTTCCATAGACAAATAGCCGCCGCCTTTTGAAAACCCATCACTGGAAAAAGAATGAAATATATATTATTTAACATTATATATAATTATCTATACCAAAGGGTTAAAAGGTAGACTAGTGTGACAGAAATATTTTTTCATGTTAATGCATCAATAAACTCACAAAGCATACACTGGAACACAAGTAGACCAACTATTTTGAAGAAACCCATTCACCAACACCTCAAATAAAATAACATAATTAAAAAGAATAGAATCTAAAATATGGAAGAGAATTGAAGAAATGAGAGAAATAATTATAATTAACAGTTAATCGGATTAATTTCAAACCTATGATCAGATAATCTGAACGTCAACTGCTTCCAAAGTGGTCCACCTTTTCCTCCCATGAATGAAAAGCGTGCTCTTCCCTTATCAAGATGGGAAGAACATTAATAGATATAGATAGAAATCAAGAACCGGTGAAAAATTGATAAAAAGCAGGAGAAAATGAAAGAAAGGTTAGAGAGAATTTTACTCTTCTGAATCCGTTAAAGAATGAACGAAATGAACCACAAAGGTTTTGCTACATTTATAATTGGGATAGTCATAACTATTCTAACTACTTGACAGCTAGGACAGTCAGACAGACAGCTAGACATAAACGAACTACTAAATTTCTCAGAATTGAGTATTACTATATAAGATTATAAGCTTTGGTGGAAAAACATAGCATATAATGAAGTATATTACCACAATATGAAGAGATGCTATGTTGTTCGATGATTATAGTTTAAAGATCCAAGTGAAAAAAGAGCTTATTTATGTATTCTGTATTATAAACATCGTCTAGAAATGGGTTGATGATAAAAAAAAAATATTTTCAGCTTCATGTATAAAGAATCAAAGATAAGCTAAACATGAATTCATATAAATACCTTCTCTGTGGAGGAGCTATCCAACCAAAAGGTGTTTTCAGCTTCATGTCCAAACAACCCACAAAATATATTTTTTGCGCCACCAATTTGACCAGCCAAGTGACCAAATTTTCTCCATTTCAACTTCAAACATTTATAACCAGTGCTTGCATGATGAGAATTTACCATGTTGAACATTTCTAACCACTTCATCTCAGCTTTATTATATACCAAATGTCTATCTCCATGAACTATTTTTTTCAGCTGGTCCACTGCACTATTCTCTGAATTAATACTTCTGTGAACTTCTCTATACAGTCTACTAGCACTTGAAACCTGCATGCATGCTAAAAAGAGTTTACTGCTCAGGTAAATTAAAAGGAACTAACATATAAATTTGAAGGCCAATGGAAATTAAGAATAAAAATATGGAGCATGTAAACAATGTTAAAGTGATCTTACTCTAGTTTAAGAGATCTAGATATTTACTAGACCCTAATGAAGACTAGCATACAAGATACAACTAAATATTTGCATCAGACCATTTTTTTTAATCTCATCCAAAAAGAAAAAAAAGTCTAACACACAGCAGAAAGAGCAAAGTGGCCTCCTCAACTGGGACGGATCTAGAAAACATCTCAAGGGGGAACTATAAGTGAACAAACTTAGATACTGTATTATAAAAATTAAAGTCAAGTTGAAGTGGTAAAAATATTTTTTTAAGTATTAGTAACAACAGTCATGTAAGCGTTAGTGGGTCACAAAACCACTGACTTTTTATGTAAAAAACTGCATATATATTTTTTAAAAGATTGAGCAGGGGAGTAATTAAGCAAACATTAATCCCCCAAATTAGTATCGACAAGCACTTTTAAAAGCAAGTATGACAGACAGAGAGAGTTGTAATGAGGGGGGATAAAAATCAAAGTTCTTCAGTTTACCATCAGAATTAGCATGATTTTCCTTGTTGTATGATGACCTAAATCTCAGCCAATAATCATCCGTAATCTCTCTAAAATTCTTGAATATTTGACTTCCATGGCAAGTTGCAACACTCTCTGGATGAAACTGAAGGTCAAAATTGTTGAGGTGAACATAGTTAACAATAAATAAATAAATAAAAACACAAAGCTAAGATTATAGACAGATCATTTCTGTATTTAACACCTGCACACCATAGTGTGGTCTTGTAGAATGCATGATTCCCATAAGAACTCTTGCACTTCTAGTTTTTCCATAATCAGAAAGGTTTGAACTTCCATTTCCTACTTGAGCTAAAAGAGGATCAATAAAGATGCCTTGCTCTGTCTGAATTTCATGAGCATTGTACTTGTCACAATCCTTAGACCCAAAAAATGGAAGTGTGCTAGTGGAAGAGGTCCATGCTATTGGAATGAGCTCTTCAGGAAGTGATTCTGAATCTATAACCAGCGAATGATATCGAACCACCTTAAATATGTGCAAACAACAAATATGACTGGCGGTGGTAGATTAGACAGCTCTTAATTAAATTTTGACAAGAGTAAATTTAACAGGAAAGAAAGAAGGTAGACAAACAAATTGCAATGGAGCAGTTTGCATCCGCACATAATTCATATTTTAGATGAAGGATTGCATCTCTGAATCATATGAAATCTTTTCAGTATTATCAACTAGTTATTTACTTACACAGCCATTTTTTTGGCTGAAAGACAAACTATGGTAATGGACTATAGCAGGGGGCATCTGGTTTACAGAACGTTCTAGAATTCCCAGGAATAGCTCTGTCTTTTTATCAAAATTGAATAGAACAACAGTGATTTTGGAAGTATGACTAAGATTACTATGAATTTGCAATTCAACCAAACACATTGATCCAACATTCCTAAGAATTTCAATTGAGAATGTTCGAAGCAAACCAAAACACTTTTGGTGGCATTCCATGGTACCAACACCAACTATCTGTTGTAGCTCTTCCTCACTCACTCACTCACTCACAGCCACCCAAAATCTCCCTCTCACCCAGGAAAAAATAAAGAAACATAGTAAAACCTCCACAAAAAGAAAAAGAAGACATCTTCCTTATCAACAACACTTTATATATACTTGAATCAGAAAAAGAAAATATTGTATTAAGAGACAAGAATAATACAGACCAAGAGCATCAGGAATCCTCTTGAAACAAAGGAGACAAGGAAAAAAGACAAATAGAGATGAAAAGATCAGCTGAAGGGGCTCTCCAATCCTTCGCCATATTTGATCAAGAAACTTTCCTTAAAGAAACCACGAGAACAAACCCACATAGAAGCAAAAGATATTTCCCCTTAACCAAATATGTCATGGCTTGCAAAACGAGCACAATACCACAATACCTTTCCCTTATCTTTTCCACCCCTAAAAATTCGTAAGAGATAATATTCTCACAAGTCAAAGACCAAATTATGTATTCACTAGGAATCCTAAACAACTAGCCCATAACTGCTAAGAAACATCAGTGTTATGTAACCAACTCTCCCAAAAGCTTAATCTATTAGATGAAATCACATATATAATTTTATATTATATTATTTCTTAACACACTCCCTCACGCCAAGAGCCTTATAGGATTGAAGCGTGGACAATTTATGGGTCCACCACACCAAGAGCTTTTTTTTAAGTTTGAAACTTGGATTTAAGTGTTTACTTGATAGAAGAATAGGGGCTATAAGATCGAACTCTAGACCCCTGGAACGTAGAAGCCATGATATCATGTCAAGAACCAATTCTCCCAAAAGCTTAACATATTAAGTGAAGAAAAATTAAGGTTTAAATTTAAAGTTTCCTTGTGTCGAAATGACTTGTATGTCTCAAGTATGAATATGATAAACTTAAGATAGAATTGTATGTAAGTATTCAAATTCTCTAAAAAGCTTGAAGGATTCAAATTCATATTCTTTCAGATATATAGAGGCACAAACACACCTTGAAACCAGAATTTCTTCCAGAAGGTATGTCATGAAAAAGCTGGCAGCCATTGTGCTCAACTTCACTAAACAGTACAAAGAAATAGTTAATAGAAGGGAGAAGTAACAGATATGAGACCTTTAAATGAAAGTTTTGTTTTAGGTATATTCATCTTCCTGAGTGTAGCAATTACATAATAACAACCGAAAAAACAACAGATAAGTTTTTGAAATGTTTAACTGTACCTTAAACGTCCATGGATTGGTTCAGCTGCATGGACCACTTGAGCGCCATGCACATAACCTAACGCCTATCATATCATATATTAAGCAATTAAACAATGAAAAGAACATAATGTAAACAATAGTTATGAAAGGCAGAAGTATGACATCTGATATTATGAGTCAAAAAGATGAATCAAACAGGACTAAGTTTAATATATCACTTAATAGCAGGTAAGACACGACAACATAAGATTACAGGAGGCATTTGTGAAGAAGTTCATAGGCAATATCAGGCATTTGTGAACTTTGTTCTTAATGTCCGAAGGAAGAAAGTGATACATTTGACCCAAAAGTCATAGGTCTCTAACTCAAACAAAGCGTCCAGAATTGATAGTCTGTACTCTGTAGTCACATCACTTGTTTGAACTAGAAGAAAAACCAAAAGAGCATGTTGTTCACTATGTTTTATACAGTAGAATTACCAGTCCTATTAAACTAGAAGACTAGAGAATTGCTATTTCTTTATTCCACTACAATCTGGTACAATGGAATACCCATTCCCATTGCCTCCAACGCATATGGGAGTCCCTACTCCATTCCTGGTCAGAATGTGCCTTTGAATTTTGTATTCAAACAATTGACCAAATTATACAGAAAACCTTTTGAGGGGATTTTTTGCTATTTATATCATATATCACATATGGGATTAAATTACATCTTTAAAAAAATTAATAGATTATCATCTTAATATTTGTTTTTAAGACAAGTATATTATCATCATCATCCTATAGTCTTCTCCCCTTCCTTCTAGTTTCTAGCATAGCAAACCAGTGAATAGAATGAAAAATTCACCCCATTTTCACATAGAAACCGTGCTACCAAAAATATTGATTCCATTCCAAGCTGTCCAGTCTCCAGTCCAATTAAAAAAAACTTTGTATAGTACTAAATGTAACTGTAAGACACACAACTTATCTTCTCTAGAAGAAATGAGATAAAGGATGAACATAGTGTGACAAACCCTACTTAGATGCTAATATAGTATGATTTCTCATAATATTATAGAAGGTAACGCAAAACAACAATTAGAGGAATAAAGTTGTGTTATGTTAAGACGAAACCTAAATTCAAGAAATACAGTGTACTATATTGAAAGTTGTGCAGGATAATAACAGTACAAGTTGAAACCTTAAAAATTTTAGGTAATATTCTGGAAAGGAAGAACACATGATATATTGAAGGTTTGCTAAGAAAGAAAGTGGTTAAATTAGATAGGAAAAAAACAAGGGCAACAGTCTTGCAAAAAAGAGAAGAAAATACCTGGTGTCCAAGGCAAACACCCAGAACAGGAATATCCCAGCATTTAAGCAATAGCTGAAGACAAATACCTAAAGCATACAAAACCATTTCCAAAAAAATTAAAATAAAGAATCGTTCACACCTCATGAAACAAAGATTAGGATAAAAGACAAGTCATAATGTACAAGGCTCCCTGACATGTAGGGGTACGGGTGAGGGTCGATTGTACGCAGCCTTACTCTTGCATTTTTGCGGAGAGGCTATTTCCCAGACCCAAACCTGTGACCTTTCAGTCACAAGGAACAATCTTACCATTACTCCAAGGCTCACCCTTGAAACAAAGATCAGGATAACATATTAAATTAAATCATAATTTAAATTCTGCAAACTATATCAGGTGTCCTTTTAGAACACATAGGCATAGTTATACTTACAACCCATGTGGTGTGAAGGTGTTTCACTTACACGGTTACACCCCCTTTGAGTGTAATAGAGGTGAGAATGTTGAGTGAACATGTACGCAAATATAAAATTAGGAACAAATGTATTCAGGAAAAAGTTGGTTTGGTCATGCATTAAGTAGACCAATCGAGGCTTTAGTGAGGAAACCGGATCAAATGGTAGATAGTCCAATTTTAGGAGAAACCATTAACAATGACCTTATTCTAAATGGGATTTTTGAAAATTTTGGCTTTGATGCAGTCTAATGGTGTTGATTGATCCATGTAACTAATCCCATCTAGTGCAATAAGACTTGGTTGTTGTTGTTGTTATTAAGATTGAACGTTTCAATATTTTATGTTCTTGAAATCTGAATATCTTCTCCTAAAATCTCATTTTGCATCTGGGTAACTATAAATGGTGTTGAAGGTCAAGTCTGATCACAAAAAAATAACAGTGGTTGTCATGTGACTCTTATGTAAAATTTCTGTTAGATGAGTTACCCTTCAACCAATTTATTGAGCTACACGGCCACCAGAGGTATCAGTGAACCAAAATATTTCACAGATTGTAAGTTAAACACCCCTAAACCCACAATGGCAGAAAGTGTAGTTTCACCATGAAGATATCATAGAATTATACAAAGGTCATTCAATGTTCCACTCAACAAATATTTACATCTATAATTGCAGCAACTTATTTTCTGTTGCATCTTCTGGAGCAATAAATGTAATTAAATTATCAGTCCACAGCAATATTCCATGATTCTCACCAATATCTTCAGGGCATGCTGGAGAACCAGGTCCAGGAGATATTACAATGTTATCAAATGCATTTTCCTCATACAAGTAATGGCAAAGTTCTTCCCATGTCCAATCATCATTTCGGATCACCACAGGAGGGACTGGAAAAATGAAAAACCAAACCAGCTGTTAAAATGGACGTCAACTCCTTACATTAACTTCTTATACCTTCCAAGCAGAGTATTCTGTATGAGATTTTAGAACAGATGTTTAATACTTGTACAAAATAGTGTTATTTTGGTTCTTATTGATAGTCTAATTATTTTCAGATAAAGGGGGAAGCTAATTATACACAGCAAACAAATATATTTTTGACAGCAGTGTTCTACTATATGCATCTAGAACAGTTCTACTTGAATCTGTTAGAATTTAGTGTGTTATCGAATAACAGAATCGAAATATATTTTTTTTTAACATCAACTCTAAGGTGATCACTCAATGATTGGCCATTACAGCTCCACTCAAACATGTCTGTTAATGCAGTTGTTCTGAGACCCCAGAAGCTTTTATTCTCTTCAATTGATTTCTACATATAAGTTGCAAAAATAAACAATTTGATCCATCATATTAATATAAATAAATATGCTCACTGAATTTTCAACATGTAGTGTTCTTTTTATTTTGTACAGCTTGATGACGGAATGATATTGAACTATATCTCTATAATGAACCACTTAGTCAATTATTGGATTAGATTATTTTTAAGGAAAAATTGTTTTTTTTCTTTTCTCCAAAAGCTCTCTCAGTGAGATATTATATTATAAGATATCTTAAAAAACAAGATATGCTAATCCAATATCATACTTAGGAATCAACATTTTCCAATTGTTTTCTACCCACATCTACATTCAAATGAGATAGAGAGATCGAGAGAGAGAGAGAACTAACCACCATTAACAATAGATAGCTCCTGGTATATATTGTATGTGTAACTGTCATAGTTGTCAATCAACAATGTCCTCACAAAATCTGGCTTCTGCATAGGCACCTGTATCCTTCTCTTTCTTTTGTATGACTCTTCTAAGTGGCTATGCATTAATTGACAAGATATCATCGTGTTTCTTCCATCACGATGACATACTCGCATATCATCTTTCTTAACGAAACAAGAAACCCTCACTGACGGTCTAGACAAAAGAAAATTCACATTTGTGTATTGCATGGCTTCACTTGCAGGACAGGTGAGCTCAGAAGATAACAAACGCAAAGTCAAGTTCATTTTTGTAGGAAAAGTATATGAACACGTGGTCTCCACTACTACCACACCTTCTGCAGATCAATACGCATATAATTATTAGCTCCATATACACATGAATCAAATTAAGAAAAGCTAGCATGTTTTTAGCTTGTAATTATATGCAAATAACAAACTAAAATACACTATATAACAAATCATAATCATTTGTATAAAGCGAACACATGGAGAAACAAATTCAAGTAAGAAAATAAAAATTAAAAACGTCCGAGGATGAAATTCGACAAGAAAATCAAAATGATGATGAGTATAAACAAAGAAATAGACTCATATATGGTTGTTAAGAACTTACATGTTTTGTTCTATTGCGAACAAGAACTTGCAGATTCAACAGATCACGAAGAGATACTAATAGCCATGAGCAAAATCACGTACGAGAAAAAAAAAAAAAAAAAAAAAAAAAAAAAAACTGAACAGAAGAGAACAGAAAAGATAAGAGGAAGAGAAGAAGAAGTTAAGAGTAAAAATGAAGCGTTATAAATCAGAAGGAAAAAGAAGAAACACGTGATTTGGTTATAAGATGAATGTAAAGGGAAAATGAGAGAAGGGGGTTGGTCGATGGTGGTGGTGGCGGTCAGGATTCGGAGCGGGTGGTGGAGAAGTTGTTGCTCGGTTAAGGCCTTTTGAAAGCCTTTGAGGGATTCGAACTTTATAATATAATGTATTGATTTGCGTGCTTGCGCCACTTTTATTTTTTATTTTATAGATTCTAATTGAGGCTTTTGGCATGTGAGAAAAGTTACGATGTTGGAAAATTATGTAATAAAATATATTAGATTTGGATTGTTGGATGCAGATCAAAATAATTAATAATAGATTGATTATTTGATATGAAGTAATAATAGATTTATTATCGATTTATTTGTTTTATGTAACATGTTTAGTCAAGCATTTCAGTTAGACCATCCTTCCATGCCAATTGGTCAATTTGTAATTTTGTATCATGGTGGGACGCCTCCACCAACCCTGAATATATACGCTCACACCATTTTGTGACAATATGCTTACATTTATGTGAAGCACAAAATGGAAGATGTATGCAAGAGATTTAATACAAAATAATCCTAAAGTTGTTTTAATTATTAGCTACTTATTTTAATACAAAATAAAAGAAGCACTTACTAGCTACTTATTCAAATTATAATTATAATTATTATAATTATAATTATTTTAATTACTTAAAGTTGTTACGAAACGAATATCTTTATAAATTTCATAATTCTAATATGAATAATCTATTTTTAAGATATGCATAAATTAACTCAAATATCACTTAAATACAAATATTCTTTGCATTATTATCGGGGGATTCAAATATTTAGTCCCCTTAATTGAAATCTGAATATTAACAACTTAAAGTAAAACAAAAATTTAAAAATTATTGTCAATTAAAAGAGGAAGAATATTTTTTAATCTGGGTATTTCACCAACTGTTTGTTGCCAAATATTATCCTTGAAGTTGAAGATTCTGAGTTTTTTTATCAGAATGATAATACTGAAATTCGAACTTATAATTTTATATAAATTATTCATACTAATTCTTTTTCAGTTGCTTAGGTCTTATTATTTTAATTTTATTTTTGATAATGTATCTCCTAAAAAAATATGGTAAGAAATAAACATAAAATATTAAATAAAAATATAAGTATTTAATGTCTCGTAAAATTAAAATTAAAAATTATTTAATATTTTATCTTTTTAAAAATATTAAGGATAAGTGATCAAAAAAGTTTAACTTCTATCAAAAAAAAAAAAAAAAAAAAGTTTAACTTCTTAACTTCTGTCTTAAAGTTATATATCAAGATAAACTTTACTATCTTATCGGCGAGTGTCATAAAAATATTAATGAATATTTAACAACTCTTTTTTTTTTTTGTAATCAATATTTAACAACTCTTTAAACATTTTTAAGAACAACATTTATGAGCATTTCATATTTTCTATCAATTTTTTTAATCAAATGAAAAATTAGATATTATTTTTTCCAAAATAATAGATGCTCTATATTTTATAATTTTGCTTTGAACTAATATCTAAAAGCCATTGATCTTACATTAATATAACTACTCTGATTTGTAAGTATGTGACATCATTTATCTGTTTTGATTTAACGATCTCGAATGAAGTGTTAAACCTTTAATTTGAAATGATTCTACCTTGTTATCAAAAAAAAAAAAAAAATGATTCTACCTGTGTGTGGAGATTTTGATTCCAACACAAGAATAAAAAATCTTACCCTCATCTCAACCATTAATATCCGTATAATTTATAGAATTAGATCAACTAAATAGTAATAATGTCAATTTCTTAGGCTAAACTATATTTTACTCTCACATCAATTAATCCATTTTACTTTTTATACATGAAATTCAATTTTTAACACTTAATTCCTCTAAACTATGTAAAAAGTGTAACTTGTATTTTTTATCAAACTTTTTCGTGATAGTTGAGAAGCAGAATACTTTTGATTTTGTAAAAAGCACGTCAAATTTAAGTATTAAAATTTCTCACATCTTTTTTACATGCAAATTGCCATCGTCAAGTTTAACAAAATAATAATAATATATACTTTGGGTTCTTTTTCCTACAGTTATTGCATATGAGATTTTTTGTAGCAGACACACAGGAAAAATAGGATCCACTTATTTAAAAAAAAAAATAGAATCCATATCTTGACTTTCTATGTGTTGGTGCAAAAAAAAAATTACAGCAACAGTATAGCTATATTTTCCATATACTTTTTAGTAGGATTTTGTTGGGAATTTCTAAAGTATCTGGAATTTTATGCAGATTCCTATAGCAATATTGTTACAAAATTACAATAATTGAAAAAAATGAGATTTGACTTCACCCAAAATCGGGCTACAGCAGAGATCAAATTCAATATAAGAAAATTCAAAGTAGTCAATATACAACACTCTCATTTTTTTCTAAATCCAAGAACTCAATATACATCCTCTCATTATTTCTCGTACAATTGAATTTTATCTTTTCTTTACCTCTCAAAACTCAAATAGCTCACACCTCAAAGTATAATATCTCTTATTACTCATTTTAAAATCAAGAAACTAATGTTGTTCTAGCCAATAATAATAGAGTCAATCAATTTATTGTTATTTCCAATAATAAAGTCAATCAATTCTGCATTATTAATAATAATAATGGAGTCAATTAATTTACCGTTATAATGGAATGAAATAATTTTTTATCACTATTCTAGCAAGATTTTGATGCCCATAAACTTTTGCCTTCAATGCTAATAGATTTAAGAGAGTTATAACCTATATGCTAACAAAAATATAAAATGTACATATAAATGAAGAAAATTAATCCACATAAAAGTAAGACATAATTTGCTCAATTTTTTTTGGTATACCGATCTTAATTACCTCTTAGAGGCAAGTTGACCCCGAATATTTCACAAGCTTCAACTCTTTGAGTCCGCTATAAAACTAATCTGGAATCGAGACTTAGTCACATCTAAAGCTCATCATCTCTTCTCAAATATATATTTGGTGAAAATCGAACTCAAATTCTCTCCTCACTTTACTCAACCTATATTACCAACTGAGCTACATCTATTGCATAATTTGCTCAAATTTTCGATTAAACCATCAAATTGATAATCGAGTCGACTCCTCATTCAATTATTGCAACTATACTTTTAGGGGGCGTTTGGTTGAAGATAAATTTTAAGAATACTAGAGAAATGTAATTACTAGGTATCCATAGGGAAAGTTGAATAGATGGGGAAGTTAAAAAAAAAGTAGTTTGGTTTGACAAAATTTTACCAAGGAAATATATGACAAAAAGTGTGTCAATGTAAGGGTTCAGATCTGTAACAGAAGAAGGAGAAGGAGGGATTGATGAGATAAGAGTAGAGAGAGAGAAATTAGAGAGAGGATTGTCCAACTTTTTCATATCTTCTATTCCAGCCCTTCTTTGGCTATATACTCGTATCACTTACATTATTCCTGTTTCTAATTTTCTGGGTTTTCATTACAACATCTGTTAATACTATAAAGTGGGCCGACTATTGAAAATAGTCTGCTAAGTAATTGGGCTTCTTTCTGACTCTAATGGGCCTGTTCTCCTTCAGTCCATCCAAATGAGTCGCAACACTCCCTCGCCCATCAAAACTAACATCGTCTGCGATGTTGCTTGGGCCTGTGCTGGGTTGGCCCAAATCGTGTGCCTTCCTACTTAGTGTAACTGAGCTGTCGGTGGCTGGTAGCCGTTGAGAAGTGGGTGGACAGCTATCCAGCATTAAAGACGGATTGGATGGGGAAGGGATAAGAATCTGCGTGGCCTCCTCCTGATTGGTTGTAGGAGGGCAGCAATAATGACAGGTTGGTGGCCCAATGTCTGAATTGAAGTTGAGACAGTGGGACTTTGTGCTGTTTCATTTGCACCTTCAGTTTCCAAAGAAGTCCTTTGACGTTGGGTAAGGTTACTGTTGTGAGGCAAAGGGGAAACCTTTTCTATTACTCCGGCGGCTAAAAGGGACTCATCCTCCCATGTGGATTCCTCTGGTGGCAAGCCTCGCCATTGAACCAATACTTGAGGAGTATCTTTTCCATTTTTCCAGACCGAGCGATGGCCAACAAAGGCAGCTGGAACGTGAACCGGAGGTGTACGGTGGAGATCCGGTGAAAATTGGTGAACTTGATGACTTCCTGACGGCAAAAAAGGCCGTAAGAGTGACACATGGAAAACCGGATGCACGCGAGAGCCCTCCGGAAGTTTAAGGCGGTAAGCAACACTGCCGATACGCTCTAGGACTTCGAATGGCCCATAATAACGAAGACCCAACTTCTGCGAGGACCGGTGGTGGACGGACAGCTGCCGGTACGGTTGCAGGCGGAGTAGTACCTGATCTCCGACGGTAAAGGTAAGATCTTTACGTCTTTTATCAGCTTGATTTTTCATGAAAGCCTGTGCTTTTTTTAAATTCATCTTCAATGATGCGAGGATCTTGGAGCGCTG